TAAGACTAATCTTCTGATATACATCTCATTCTGAACGGCCACGGCCACTAAGTATCCTTCCCTTGTGAGTATTCAATATTCGAATGATGGAATGAGTGTTTTTCAAGAATTCGACCATTCACATGTGCAAATAATCAAAATTCGAATATCTTATGCAAAAATGGATACTCAATCTTGATCCTATTTGATGATATGGCAGTTATTCGAACGAACCAATCGATGATTTCGCAGACATTCGAAGATCGGACATTATTTCAAAACTAAGCCCAAATATTCAAACATCGATGTTTCAAGATATTCGACTACTTGAATATTCTTATAAGACCATTTTTTCGAAAACTCGACAATTCAAAAAATATTAAGAGTGCTCGCTTTCGCTTTTCAAATATTCGAACTATTCAAAATGTTCATATTTTATTTGCATACTTGGTCTCATATTTAGGTGTGCTCTGCGGTACAAAACCAGGATTACACTGTTGTTGAAGATTACTGTACAGGTCTTAGGGCACTCCTCTATTTGAAAGCAGCTCAGTCTCTGGGAAGCTGGGACGGACAAAGTCCGCCCGTCGAAAAGCACCAAAAAGGAAAACCTCTGCTTGTCAAGGATACGGCAAGTAGCATTTGTAGATGGATAGCTAGGAAATCTTATTAAAAAACTATATTTACAGGGTCTACCTAATTTTGGAAACTATCGCAATGATCGTGCTAAACTGGAAGAAAGCACATTTAAAAACGGTACTCCTGTGTCGATAACTGGAGAGTTTGCGACACGTCCAGATCTGAGTGTAGGAGATATCTCATCAGTCCAGGTAGGCTTTTGAGATTGCAGAATTTCAAATTTATAAATCCAACCAAACAGTTTTCCACTGACTATTTTTTTCGCTCCTTTTTAGTCCTTCCAAGAATCCGAAAAAAAAATCGAGATCTTTTCAATGTTACGCCTTCTGGTGCAACACCCGTATATTTCAGGACGTTATTGGCAACGCTCTCCCTCGAATTGGTCCCTATGTCACTCTGGACAATAAACTCCAGAAAGTTGCCCTCATCGACGATGTAAGTTCACCCACAATACATTAGATTACTTGCACAAGTATATCAAGGGTTTAGGATATGTGTATTAATTGTGGGAAATGTTACATGACTTGCAACGATTCTGGCTACCAAGCCATATCGTTCAGCGAGCAAACCCATCAGCCAAAAGTCAACGAAGATGATTGTACTGGGTGTACACTCTGCTACAGGTAAGGCTATTGATTTTGTAACTCTAGGCAAAAGACTAAACACCTAATTGAATGGTAATTGTATTTCAGTGTCTGCCCGATCCCAGAATGTATTCAAATGGTGCCGAGGACAGGACCATGGAAAGCGCCAAAGCGTGGTGTTACGCCTCAATTTGAACCGGGAACTCCAAACGTTGTAAAAGTCAACGAACAGGGAGAAGTGATTGTTGATGCCAACTGAGGCGACTTGTTGTTTTCTTTGTGAATAAAAGTTTCTTCACTTCTCTTCAAAGTAAAAATTGAAAAGACTTGGCGTCAAATTTGCTGTGTTAGGAATATACTTCATGACTAATTGTTTCATTGAGTTCGAGGAATGACTTTACTTTTAACGAATTTACATAGCATCAGATCAAATATTAACTAATTTTTTAGATTACAGTTAAATTCCGCAACGGCATCTCAAAAAATTTCAGCAAAAAACTTGTTAGAACAGCATTTAAAGTGTGTATATGTGTTAGTCCGCAAAGTTGTGCGATACGAACCCAACTTAATATGAATATTGTCGCGTTGGGAGAAAAGGAAGAAATGAATGTGTTCAGGTAAGAACTTGACGACTGCAATACATCCATACCCAAGACTGAGATACTCCTATTTGGAGCAGACCTCAACGGTAATGTGGCTCAAAGAAGTAGTGCAAAAGTGTCACAGGATGCAACGAGGAAGGCGAACGCATTTTTAAGTTCGCTAGAACCTATATTCTAGCATTAGTTACACGTAATACATCAAAAAGCATGAGTACTTGATTACGCATTCAAGTGGTGACTGTCGAATATAAGTTGGCCGCTAGGCAGTGCGCTACAATAACCTAAAGAACAAAAGATTGGAAAATTATCTCAGGAAGCTGCATGCCTCAGCATAAGCCAGTATTTCTAGACCTGAAAATGTT